TTCTCCCGAGGGGGAAAATGGCTGTTCCCCTGGAGGCGAGAGCGCCCTTCTCTCTCGCACCGGCCGTACGTGGGGCAGGCCCGTGTCACCCGGGGAGTGCGAAGGGGGCCGCTTGCCAGGCGTGGAGCGGGTGCGTGTTGCTGTGCAGTTCGGGCTGGGGAAGCCCAGCTTCGAGGGTCTAACTCTGCCAAGGAGAAAGCTTATGTCCTCCTTATGTGTATTCATATTAGTCATGTATGTTGACATTTATCTAATGACTTGTGTTGATGTGCTCTGCAAAAAAAAATATTTTCTTGGGGATAATCCAGTTCTTTAGCCTGTTACAGGTTTCCCTATATGCTTTTGCCAGACCGGGATGTCCATGCAGAGAGGATGTTCTTAAATTAACAGAACTTGAGCTTGTCCAGGGTATCAGGGTATTGTGCACCTCTTATCCCTTAGACTGTTTTATTTTGCATTTAATGTAAGTGTTGCAGTTTCACCACGTTATGCAGCACATATGCTTGTTGCTGGGGGGCTTTCTGTCATGCTTGCTGTGACAGTTGGGTTTCATGGTCCAGCAACATGAATTTCACAGGCCTGTCTAAATAGTTATATTCCAAATGGTACATTGAAAATTGTGAGTGGTGTTTGTTAGTAGGAGGTAAACTCAAAACACCTGATGTGCTCCATGCATTTCTATATGTAGTTTTGAGGCAGTTTGAACCCGTAAGAAATTTTATTTATCATTTTGGGGCTTCACACTCAATTATATTAAAATATTCCTCTGTGTCAGAGACACAAGCATAGGACAGTCAGCAATGAATTTATTGTGGATCAGAATCAGTTTGACTCACTTCAATCAGAGTTTCAGGCCTTTGTCTTGCAGACATGTCTATCTAACTTATCTGATACTTATGATTAGGGTTATGGGATATTTCAGGTTGGGAGGGACCTCAGGAGATCTCTAGGCCAACCTCCTGCTCAAAACACATCAGCAGTGAGGTCAAACGGGATTGCTCAGGGCTGTAGCCTGTCAGGCCTTCAAAACCTCCAAGGATGGAGACTGCACATGTCTCTGGGCAACCTGTTCTGCTGCCTTACTGGGCTCATAGTGAAAATGTTTTTCCTTATATCCACTCTGAAGCTTCTTTTTCTTCTAATTTCTACCTGTTGTGTCTTGGCCTCCTACTTCACACCATTATGAACAGCCTGGCTCCAACTTTAAATTCTAGCCAGTTCTAGAAGTCTGGCTTCTGTCAGTTTAGTGTCTTGTTTGGAAATACTCCAATGTTTTGTCATACAGAACCTGAACTTGTTAAGGAAACTTTGCTTTGCTTTACTTTCATTAAAATTTACTTTGAAGATCACCACTTGAAGACTTGCTGTTTCTTTTGCTGGGATGTTCTTCTGAAAACTGCTGCAAGTCCTAAGAAGCTTCTCACATGTTTAAAAAAAAAAAAATCTCTATATTTGGGGTAGTAGGCTAGTTGACAGTGCCCTGACTGTCAGTCAGTGTATTTTGCTGGGTCTTTATCAAGTGTGTGAGATGACTCAGGTGACTGGCTTTTTTCCCCTGAAATAATGAATTTTTAAAAAAGTGGGTAAGGAAACCTGGTTAGAGTAGTTAAAACACACCAAAAGCTTTATGACAATAAATTGTTTTTAGTATTTGTAATGTTTTTTGAAAGAAAATGAGCCAAAAATGAAGTTGCAAGAGCTGCTTTGTTGAAAATTTGCTGGAAGAGCACCTCCTTGTCATATGGTGAAGAAAAACATGAAGCCTGTCATTAAAATGAGGGATGTAATGCTTACTTTCATTAAGCACATCACTGCTGAAAGAGCTTTGCTTATGACTGACTCAGTGAACAGAAGTTTCTGTTAATTTGCAATAAATTTAATTCCCCAAACTTAGACTCTTCGAATGTTCTTTTATTTCTATTTGTTTGAACGTCTGTTGAAGTTGCATTGACATTACTGAATAGGCCTTTGAAGGGCTTTAAATCAGGTTCTTAGATCTGTGCCTTAACTGAAAGGATTCTTGTAGCAAATTGAAAAATACGAAGTTATGACCTGTTTTTCCTTGCACAGTTGTTTTTTTTTTTTTTTCCCAGACTTCAGTCTCCTTATTCATTTGGCAATTTTTAGAAATGTCAGTGATCAAGCTACCTTGGTCCTTGTCCTTTCCACCTCTATTCTGTGTTACCAGAAGCAAATTCCTCCCACTTTTGTGGACCTGGGAGATGGAAAGTTGCAAATTTCAACTTTAAACAGGAAGGGAGATGTGAGTAAATTGTAAAGCATGCTTCATTCAGACCAGAAAAGTCTTTGAAATGGGATAATTCCCTTTTATGAGAATATAGATAGTTCTTTTAGCCATAAGATGCTCCAAAAGAGGTCAAAGTACAGAATGTGTTAAAATGCCCAATATCATTTTACTCTTTCAGAATTGTTCTGATGCAGTTTATGAAGAGACATATTAGTGTCCTATTCTTATGTGTGTGTACATCAATTACTTCACAAAAAAAGAATGTCTCCTTCTCGTGCATGCTCTCAGACTGCTCTTTGATGTTGTGACTTTTTGGCTTTTAGCTTCTAGAACAGAACATTGTTCATTCCTAAGCCTCTTCACTAAATGCAATTGATTTATTGGTGGTTAATCTACATCCCAGGTGGTTAATCCACAAAGATTTTGATTCTAATCGGGAATGAACTGATCTTTTTCCTCTTGATTCTCAATTTATTCCCTTTCTCACTCCCCTTTCTCTCTTTGTGTCTTTTTTTTTTTTTTTTCTCTTTAATTAAAGGAAACACCGAGGAGGCTGGAAGGCTACTGGGCAGCAAGAATGTCCGTGTCAATTGCTTGGATGAGGTACAACGAAACTGTACAAGAGTTATGCTGGGTTTAGCAAGGAATATACTAGGTCTGAAGGCCTTCTTGTTATTTAACATTGCTCTACGGACTCCTGGAAATCAGAATTATTCTGAAGATATTTCTAGCCTGCAGCTGAATAATGAACCTTTGAAGAGCTCTTACTTTTTTTTGAGAAAGTTTAAAGATTAATGTTACTTAAAGTACTACACTGTATGTATTTTCTCTCAAGTTCCAGCATGAACTTTGGTGTCTGTAAGGTAAGATGAACACTGCAGCAAGGCACACAGGGGTGCTCCCTGACTTCTTGTCACCTCCACCGAGCTGTAGTCCCTCTGCCTAGGTAGCAGCAGACAGTGTGGATAAAGAATACCTGTTCCCATCTCACACTAGCATCTCATCACCCAAAGCCTTATCTTTGCAGAACCATAAACATACTCAGTGAGCAGCTAGGTCAGAAGTGGAAGACGCACTTTTGCAGAGGCAGATGTGGTAGACATGTAGAAGGTAAAATCCTTAAGTGCTACCTGAAGACACGAGGAAATTCGCAGAGAAAGGAACCTTGTGTGATGTTCGCATCCGTTTCACCTTTTTTTTTTTTCAATAATGTTTTTCTAAAGCATGCAACATTAATATGAAGTGTAACATGGAAGCAAAACTGTAATTGGCCAGCTTGCATGTTAGATCAATGTGTAATTTATCAATTTGAATGTCAATTTGTGTTTTTTCCCAACTTTATCATTTTATAGGATCACTGGGAAATTCAGGCTAGAAGGGACCTCAGAAAGTCTCTAGTTCAGCCTCCCACTCAAAGCAGCTTCAGCTCCGAGGTCAGATGCTCTGAGCTTTATCTTGTCTGGCCTTATAAACAGTCAAGGATGGAGACTGCACAATATTTCTGGGCAACTTGTTCGACTGCCTTGCTGTGCTTACAGTGAAAATGTTTTTCCTCTTATGTCTGAACCTCTAGTTCAACTTAGACTCATTGTCTCTTGCCCTCCTGCCACCGTAACTGATGAGTTTGGCTCTGTCTTCTCAATGATCTTCCTGCAGACAGGGACACTGGCAGGCTGCTGTTGGGTCCCATCAAAGCCATCTCGTCTCCAGGCTGAACGAGCCCAGTTCCTGCAGCCTCTCTTCACTGCGCAAGTGCTCAAATTCCCACCATGTCTTGGTGGTACTCCACTGAACTCACTGCAGTTTATCCATGTCTTTGTTGTACTGGAAGGCCCAAAATTGGACAGGGTATTGTAGATGTGGTCTTGTTGAATGGAGGAAAATTGCCACTTCACCTACTGGTTATCTTCCTGGAATATTGTTAGCCTTTTTTGTGCTGCCAACAGATCCATCTTCTGATTGTTCTTAAAACCAGTTAAATATTTAAAACTTAATTTCTAATGTATGAATTTCAACAAGGTTCTGACAAACTACTCAAACTAAGTTTTACAGTAAACTTTAGGAACACAAGATGCAATGTAAGTACATTTGCAAGTGTGCTTTATTGTATGGGCTTTAAAAGCTTTTCTTTTAGTGTAATTGCTGAACTAGTGCTGAACGACTGTGCCCTTGATGCAGTATTAGTGCAACGTGCAGGATTACTGTTGAGGGGATATGGTTTATTAATAGAAGCCATAACTGAGTTATGCCTCAGGCTATTGTTAAAGAAGAAGTAGCATTAACAATACTTGCCTAATGCTCACATCTGACTAAATACACCCAAGGCACATAAGGCTTAAAAAGTTCATGCAATGGACTTACTGCAGTCTCCTTTTTATCCCCAGGAGTGGTGTGTAATGATGCATACTGAACAGGAAAGGGTTCAGATTTGTTTAGGATTCTCAATCCATCAGTCATCTCACATCAACTTTTAGAATATTTCTGTTAGAAACCATTTTCCTCTAATGTGTTATTCTAATATCTATACATAAATAGAGTGTGTGAAACCCCAGTTAAATGCTAGCTTCGTCTGTTATTCAACATTGCCACAGCTGGAGACTGCTTTGAATGCATCAGGTCTTATTTTCTTATGCTGCTGCCTTAGCTGTTTATCCCGAAATTCACGTTATTATTTGTATTACTACTGTTACTTATTTTAGTAATGTTAAGAAATGAGAAAACAGCCCTGAAAATTGAATGCTTAGATATTGAAATGGGACCACAATTCAGTTGGGACCTAAGAACTCATCTCCTTCCTTAAAGGCCTTTTTATGTGAGAGAGTCCACGGAACAAGCACAGGTTTAATGTAATTCTCTCTTCTATTTGTGGTGCAGCAAATATGCAGTCACAATGAAATTTCCACAGGCTGAAGAATACAGCATCCAGAAGCAGGCTGTTACATATTGCACTTCCTAATTTTAAATAATAGACACATAAGATGTCCCTTTAATTTTTGGTTTGACCATATATTCTAACTGCTTAGATCTGCTTTCTTCTAGATTAAAAACTACTGACAATCAGCAATATTTTCTCTGTGTACCTTTAGACAAGGACCAAGCCTTATTTTAACATCTTCCAAATGCATTGACTTTTCAAGTATCTTGCCTAAAGTTATGTTTCTTCAGTAATCGAGCTATAATCATGGTTCTTTTCTGAATCCTTTCCAGTTGTTTCAGCTTCTTCCTTCAAAAATGTAGGTGTGAGCTGGACACAGTGTTTCAGCATCACTTCTGCTGTTGTTCCATGTATTTAAAAAATAAAAAAATAGCTCCTCTAAGTCTATTTACTTTTCCTGCCCATGTGCCAAGACTCATTCACCCTTTACCTCTTCCTATCTGCAGTGCTCGTACTGGGAGCAGTAGGTCATTTGAAAGCAGAGTAAGGCCGCTTTATTCGAATTAGTTTCACAGAGACCCATCTTCCAGAAGGTGGTAGATATCCAGCAGATACAGTCCTGTTTTTTTCTAGGATCTTTCCTAACCAAATCCATTTTTTTCTGTTGTTGTTTCTTTGTGGATTCAGGTAGTCAAAGAAAGGAAAGGTATTTAGGCTTAATCACTGCCTTTATGAAAACAAAGAAATCCATCTCTCTCTTAAAAAACTTGTCTTTAACAATTTGACTCTGGCAACTTTAAAACTTCAGGGGCATTTAAGCTCAGGTGTCCGGAAATATTAGGACAAATAGATGGGCAATGGAAATGGATGCAAAATAAACACATATGTTTCATTTAAACACACCCTGCTTAGTAATTTTTTTGTCCTATTTTCGATGGAGTGGTTGCTAATTTGGAAACATAGTATGGAAGAAAGTGTTCAGAAATTTTCTTTCCCCTGGGAGTACAGAGCTTGTAAATAGTGTTGTGACTTCATGTTGGCTGTTTGCTGACTTTAACCCCATCCATTTGCAGGGTGTGGCTAAGATCTTTCAGATTATTATGGAAAAGCAGTCTAGAGGAAGTGCATGGGATTTCTAGCTGTGGAAGTTTCCTCCAGTCATGTTAGTAGTTAAGGTTGCAAAGGAGCACTGTAGTACTATAATCCCGTATTTTCTGCGGATCAAACAGAGGGACTTGACCTGAAAAGGCTTCACAGTTTTTCTGTATTTAAAATAATCTTTTTTTCATAATCTTCTCATACACAGAACTATCATTTGGCATTAGCAGCATTACTTTTTTCCTCTAGTTTGTTAATTCAGCTGTTCACTTCTATAATAAAATACGTCTTTTAGAAACAGTTAACTTCTATATGCTAATTACAGAACTGAATAGTTTCTGGGAATTATAGCAGCAGCCTGCTTATTAGGGTATGAGAGATGGGTAGCTTTACTCATACCGATTATGTTCAGTGGAGGGTTCTTCAGTTAATTTATCTTGCTATTCCAGTATGAACTTCCTATGCTAGCAGAAAATGCCCAGATCCTTGGCCTTTATTGAGGAGAAAGAGTTCTGTCTCTTGATGTTTTTGACATGGTATTTCAAAATACACAAACCAAAGAAAATTCAACAGCTATTAAGAATTATCTGGTTTCAATTCAGGTCGCCGACTGATGTAGACTTTAACTTTTCATCGCTGTAGATGAACAGAAAGATCATCAGAGGAATCTAATGTGTTACACATGTGAAACCAACAGCTCAGCAGGATGACTATAAAGGAGTGGAACTATAGCTATGCTCGACATATCTACACTCACTGCACAGTATTTCATATTCTAATTAGTTCATACTTGGCTATAGCAAAAATTATTCGTGCATGTATCTATAGACTACCTTCCAAATCCAGCTTGCAGTAAGAAAGATAGGTAAGGGCAATCTTATTCAAAAGCTTTAAGGGTGAAATTTCTAAAGGCTTTCATCCAATGAAAATTCAAGTCATGTATTTCTAGACTAGCAGCATTCAGTACCATTTCTCTTAAAAGTCGGAGACATTTTTACAATCCAATTCCAAATACCTACCTGAACTAGTATTAACGAGTTGGTCTGATTTCAGTAGTGCTCTTCCTTTTTGTTTAGGGGAGTTGATTTTGAAGACATTCCTCAACTAGTATTTCTGTGTTCCTTGTGACACCTGCTCTTTTTGCATCATTTGTTTCCTTTTTAGTAACTTCCCAAATATTGTCTCAAATAAAAGACAAACCTTCAGTCTATGTGTTTAGTTTGTAATTTCCTGAATGAATAGAACTGGTATAGTTGCCTGAATCTAAAGAATAGAATAAGACACTTTTTCCATGTTAATATGGGGCTGGGTTCCTCATTGCAAAATGAGCTGGGAAAGGGAGAGGTGGATGCTTTAACAGTGTCAGCATGCAAGTATCTACAACAGTTTTTCAGCTAGGGTTTTTTTTTTTTTCAGGGTCTTATTTTCCTCTTTCCTCTTCACACAAATCACCTCTGACTTAAACTCTACTTAGGTAGCTAGTATTCACAGATGCAATATTGTAGTGTACCCCAATACCTGCTGAGGGAGCTGCTCCAGTGTGATCCCAGCCCATGTGTACCACATCTTGGCTGCATTTCCACAGTTGAGAAGGGTGAAGTGAGCATAAGAAGTGTAAAACACTGGGAATGTTGGGACCGCTTGGATTCCTCTTTTCTCTGGAGTAACACAAGTCTATGAGTCTACTTCAGTTAGTGAATCATCAGCATGCTATCTGCAAAACAATGGCTTTTAAAAATGTACATGTATCATGTCTTGTGTTCTTACACAGTCAGCGTGAGTGTTTAAATGCTCACAACATAGTAAGTTTTTCTGCCAAATATGCCCAGGTCACTGGGATGCAAGATGGTCCATGTATTTTTTTTTTTTGTTTGTCCCAACTCTTGTTCCCTGGCCACCTCCCACTCCCCAATTCCTCTGGTCAACAAAGGGTGAGAAAAAGTGTTGTTAAAAACTTCCTCTGTAGTTCCTAGAAGGCAGAAGGTTGCTTTTGCAGTTTATTATCTTTATAAATTTGTTTTTATTCATCCTGTGGGAGCACACCTCTCCCAGGTGCTGAAGAGAGACAGGCTGACCTGCTTTCTTCTTCCCCTGCTTCTGGCAGTGGAGTCCAACCCCTCCCTGGTTCTGGTACTCATCTGCCCCTCCTACCTCCCTACACATCCTTTTCTTCCCTTGTGAGCTGATTCACCCCACTGACCCTGTAGGTTTTTGGTTTGGGTTTTTTTTTTTTTTAATTCAGTTGGCTCCCCCACTATGGCAACATTAGGTCAACTTAGCTCTGGAATTCCATCCCTCAATCTGTTTCTGGTATATTTTCAACATCAGGAACTGGGAGGGGTGGTGTGTAATGGCGGGGGTGGCTGTGCTGTGAGGCATAGTCCTGTTGTGCCAGGGAGTCCTCGTTGGTTGATGAGCTGATGAACCTGGTCAAGGGAGGTGCCAAGCAATTTCTACAGGCACTGCAAACTCTGTTCCCCGTGTACTGTCAGACATACAGGGAATACTTAGGGCCCTGCAGAAGATGGAAGATGTTAATTTTGTTCCCTGTAAACCATGTAACATCCCTGCAAAGTAAACAAAACTGGGAAAGATTCATTTTTGTCCCAGGGAATGAGGTTAAAAACCTGGATTTTTGGTCAGAAGAATGTTACATAGTAACTGCTAGAAAATGGTTTCTTCATCCTATGTTCCATACCAGAACAATAAATAATTTGTTTTCCCTGTATGTTTAATAAACTGTCTGCTAGTTTAGTCTTTTAAGTATGTTGTGTTGACAATCTAAATGTCATCTGTCAGAAAACAGACTGTTGCTGGACGTGTCTTTGATATTCAGCCTGAGAAGAGTATTTGCAGTCATTTCAGTTTCTGTATAGGGATATAATACAGGATACCAAGCTTTTCCAGATAAGCTTGTGTCTAGCCTGTCCCTTTTTTTTTTTTTTTTTTTGCTGTGAATGTGAAAAGGTGGTCTTAGTGTGACTTTAGGTTACATTTTCTAATAACTGTCCACATGTTTTCTCTTTGATATGTTTTTTTGATCCACACCACAGCCTGACTCTTTCAAAATTTAATCAAAGGCTTTTTAAAAAGGTTTCCCAGGAGGAGGAGGGGATGACAAAAAAAAATCCCCACCAACCCCTTTCCTTTGTCCTATAGTCTTCAGATAGATTTTTATTTTTTTTTTTTTTTTTTTTTTTTTTTTTTTTTTTTTATATTGAAATAACCGGCATTCAAGATATAACCAAACTTAACATCATTATTTTCTTAAAGTTCCTTCTCTGGTCAAAAACCGTACTGTGTTCATATCCCTTTACAGCAGTACTTCTCTGCGCCGCTAAAGGAGGTGAATCTATACTGTCACTCCAGGCTGGCACTGGTCCATAAAAATTGCTGTCAATATAACATAACATATTTTATATACTAGGATAGAAAGCCTTTACTTACTTTTATAGGACCACAAATGAAACCTAGCAAAAACAATCACAAATTTGTTTCATGTTTGTGAAGTGATGTCTTTTGTTTCTTTAATGGCAGTTTATATTGCAGTTTACCAAAATAGTTTGGGTTACTAAAATATAATGCGTCAAGTAATCTTTTTTTTATTATTTTCAGTTAGGATGGGGAATAATGAAAATATAATACTTAAAAATTGTTATAATTTTAACTTCCCCAATTTCCCTCACCTTTAGGAATTTTTTGAAAATTACACTGATAAATTTAACTCAACTGGGTTTTATTCTATCATAAATTGAAACAAGAAATATATTAAGGCTCAAACAGGCAATTATGTTATTTCAGAGTATCACATTACCATGCGTTTACAGAGCTGCAGTAATAGTGTACATGAGTATTCATGCACACAGCCTTAACGTGCAAAAAAAGGAAGAAAATGCCATTTTGATTTCCTTCAGGGACAAACTAAAGCACACTCCCTCGTATTCAGTGTTGGAAAATTTTCTTGGGCAATTACTATGTCTTGGCTGATAATGTGAATCCTGACTTGATGTTAAGTGAAAATAAAGAGCATATTGGAAAAAGCATATCAAATTCTAAAAAAGGAACGTCATGCAATTTTTTTTGAACAGAAATGTGCTTCTCCCTGCCCTTTGAGAGGGAGAGAGCCTGCACTAACTACTCACCCTAGTTCTGAAAATTTCCCCTAGGGTTTGCCCAGGCTTGTATTTATAATTACACTAGTGCAACTCTGATAAAAACTCAGTGCCTCCCTTGCTGAAGCTAATCCTTTTTGTACTGGCGCAGTTTATCGAAAGGCAAGGTTTGAGACTGTGTGGTTGTTAAAGTCTAGTTAGAGCTGTGTATCTTTACAAGGGCTTTCAGAGCTCTGGCTGATGTAAGATCACAGATGCAGTACCAAAAATGGTGAATAAATGGGAGAGAGGTGGATAGCACAATTACTAGTAATCATGACTAAAAATGAGCAAGATGGGTTTCACAAACTGCAGATCTTTGTAATGGCACAAACAAGAGCCTGTTCCTAATTTTCTTGTTGCTTATCAGATAATGCAGGGGAGAAAAGAAATAACTTAGGAACCGAACAAATTTTCTAAAAGAAGCTTTTCCTGCTAGCAGAAGCATTAGTTGTTTTTAATGTCTTATACAAAAGGCCAATGACAAATTGGCAGCAAATGGTTTTCATTTATTCAGCACTGGTCTGTTTTCAGATACGTAGCACAGCATAATCAGAAAAGTGACTTGGAAATGGAAAATCTACTGCATGTTAGTAACCATATTTTTTCATGAAGATTGTGTGAGTTTGTTGTTGTTGCTAACTTAAATATGTGAGGCTTTGGTAGTTACACTGAGTATGTATGTACAAGTAAAACTTATCGATGGTATGAAGATCAAGAGATGTAACTAATTCGTTTTTGTGTGCTACTTCCTTCCTCTTTCTTTTGTTAGCATGGCATGACCCCTCTAATGCATGCAGCGTACAAAGGGAAAATAGACATGTGCAGGTTGCTCTTGCGACATGGGGCTGATGTTAACTGCAATGAACATGAGCATGGATATACTGCCTTGATGTTTGCTGGACTTTCAGGTAACTTCTTACTAAACTTAGCTCACTGATTTTTATGACATTGATGGGTACAATTTGCCATAAACTAATTATTTAAAGGAAAATTTTAACACCTTTCTGTTATTCAGGTTTACTGTTACTTATGTGAACCATGCGAATATGCCAAGACCAGTAGAGTCATCAGGACAGTGGAATAGGATAGTTACCGTTCAGGCTTGGGATCTTTTTTCATAGAAAAATTTACTTTCTTCAGTATTTTTAGGCATGCAGTCTATCTGTACTTTGTCATGTTTGTCAGATCTCAAAATTCAGCCTCCTGTGGCTGTTTCCTTGTGCAGTGGGATACATTCTATTTAATTATACTGTGTTACACCAAAAAAGATGCTGCACCACACTGCCTTTTTTTAGGACTGAAAATCAGTAACTTTTACTAATATTTGAGGCTTGTCAAATTAATCTAATATTTTTCAAATTTTGCCTTTCTCCTACATTATTTTTGCAATTATCTTGTTGGCTTTTAAAAATGTATTTAGTAAGTTTTAAAAACATGGTTTCTCACATTAATCTTCCCTCTCCTCTTACATTATTTTCTTTCATGAGAGTGCTTACAGCTGTATATAACTTCTCCTGTCTCAATTGGTGGTTTGCAGCTTTCCTCTTGCTATTCTTTTTCCCTGATGAAAAATAGCAATTTTCCTGATGAAAAGAACAATTGTTCTTTTTTGCTTGAGTGAGAAAAAGACATTACATAAAAAACATTGTTCCTTTTGGGGAAAAGATTGGATTTGGGAATATTAGGTTATTTTAAATATCTTCTTTACTAGGCCACTTAACGTCTTCCCAAAAAGGAGATTCTAGGGAAGTAAGATTTCTTAGCAGGTAGAGTTTAAACTCTGCCTTCTTTCATTATAAGTATAAAAAAAGAAAGGCATATGTGTGTATATGAATCTTAACTGGATCATCAGATTGCTTTTCTGCTAAAAGTTTGGTAAAAAGATTTGGATAATTTCAGCGTTCTGTGGCATTGAGTAGTATCAGCTACAGCAGATAGATGGGAACAAACTCTTAGAGGCTGTTAAGTGACTCCAGCTTTATGGAGAATGCAGGATTTTTACCATTTTCTCACAGCTGAGCTTTTAACCTGTCATTCTGGGTTTGAATGCTTCTGAATGTTGACTTTAAGGTCTGTTATCTGTGAGTGCAAAAGGTACATGAGCACTACTGACGCAGTGCCTTTGTTTTTAAATCAGAAACATTCGTTTCCATCCACCACCGCCTTCTTTTTTTATATTCACTTTTCTGTACTTAGGATATGCACAAAAACTGATAAAGTAAGAATACCTTCAAAAGCGGAACCAGCACAAGTGGTGACAAGTGTCCTTATTAGTCTCTGAAGGGCACCAATTAAGTCATCTAATCTTCCCATCAAATTTTAGCTTCATTTTACTTGGTATTTAGCCCAGTCTGAACACCCAGTTCCCGCTGCGGAAAAAGGAACAATCTGTTCCCTTCTCTATGCTCCTGCTACATAATAGTACTGGATTTGTTTTTCTTCTTAGAATAGCAAATGTTGTAGTTGAACTGTCAAACTAGATTAGTAGAATTTGCTTCTATACTGCTATCCAGAGGGACCAAGCTCTAGTGTAGTTATATGCATATGACTCCCATAAGCTCCACGGGGAGCTGAATGTGCATTACAGAGAGCAGAGTCATACCCTGCCTGAATTTAGTTTTTACTTTGATTTGACCCTTGGAACCATAAATAAGGAGGCAGCACTGTGCCTTCCTCTTAATCCATTCTTAAAATAATGACGTTAAGAACATTCATTTCCCTCAGTGTTATTCCTGGTCTTTAAGAAATTCACTCCTTGTTTTTCTCCAACGTAAAGAATTACAAGTTCTGGTTTGTTCTCTCTCATTCCACATATCTTCCCCCCAAACTCAGGAAACAAAGAAATCACCTGGATGATGTTAGAGGCTGGAGCAGAGACTGATGTTGTCAACTCTGTGGGAAGGACAGCAGCTCAGATGGCTGCTTTTGTGGGTAAGGTGAAAACATTATCATTTCCTAAATTCCTAAAGAAGTAAAATGTTAGATTCTGATGCTTTTTATTGGAGAAACGTTACTTATGACCTGTTCTGAATTGACAATGGTGGTTCAGCTTTTTTTCTACATCTCATTCTATAACAGAGTCAATTTGTGTTCTGTTCCCATGCTTTGTTTCATAAAAGCACAAACGATCTTTTCTATAAGAATAGGTGCTGCTGTTCTCCAGGTGTGCAAGGTTTTACAATGTCATCACTTTTCCAATAGTAAGAGGAAGCTGGTAACATCTGAGGTGTCTGAAGTGCAGGCAAGTGCTTCTGCAGTACGAAGTGCATAACTGGAGCTTCCTCTGTAGGAAGGAACAAACGTAGCGCTACGAGACAGGAGCTCTCATCTGAGCTTTGCCGTGAGCATGCTGTGTGCTAGTGCTGAGTCCCCTCCTGCCCTTCTCCCTCTGCGTGTGGAAGAGGGAGAATTCTCAGAACCTGTTCTGAGGTAGTCAGTTCTTCCTGACCTGAACTTGGCTAGAACGAGGTAAAAGATTTGTCATTCCAGTATGCTGTGTGATCCTGGGCAAAACATGAACCAGGCTTTTTTCTGTTGTTAGTTTCTTTTTCCCTAAACCCTTCTTAATTCTTTACCCATCTTGACAGTGCTGGGAGATTCCTGGATGAATGTTCCCAAATATACCGCTTTTTCTCTATTTCTAGAAAGGACGTGTGATAAAATATTACCAGAAAAAGTGGAGTCATTTTAATGACTCAGCTGTTGCTGTCCAGATGACCTTCCCAACAACCAAAAATGAGGACCTGTATTTTCACTTCAGCACGACCTTCTCCTATTGTTTAAGTGTCTGAGAACTCTCTTGCAAGTCCATTAGGTGTTCTGGATTCCAGAGCCTGCCTTGCCATTTAGATTTACTTCTTGAATAGTGAGTTAGTGCAGTTTCAATTTCAATCATATATCATTCTGGTCTTTTAAAGAGGAAAAGATTCACATTGCTCATTCAAGCAGCAAAGCCTTAACTATTCACTTAATATGTGAGAGAAGTGCATTCCTATTAATTATACTTTGGATTTGGAGAATCTTTTCCAATGTGATGCTGAACTGAGTTGTTAGCGAATAGGGAATGTCACCTCCAACATAATTTTGGAGAACTCTTCTTTAAAATCTCATCACGTCACCAAGATAGAATAAATTTTTTCAGACATACTGAGATGTGCTACTCTGTGAAAGTCTGGACATTGGAATCCATTCCTGTTCTTTTTTATTCTCTGTCCAATCAACATTAATTCATCTGTCTGTGTGTGGGAAGTGAGGATACTTCTTCCCCTGTCATTTGTCTTACGCTGTGCTCTACTAGCTTAGAACAGTCTCTTCTAAAACAGTGGAGGGTTTTAAGTGCTGGAATTTGGTTGGCTGTGTCTTCTACTAATTAATAGGATTGGTGCCAAGATAAATCAATCAATTTAAAGAATGTGGTCCTGAACTAGAGAAGCTAAATTTCACTTTCCCTTTAGCCAAGTAATCCATCGTTTTGTCAGATGTAGAAAACAAGAAGGGGGTGTAACTTCTCTCATCTTGTTACTTTCATCACAGTCATTTTTTTGGTATATTTTAAGCATGTTCTGTTCTTATAATTTCTCCTGCTTTAGGTTAATACACTACTATCTGTTTCAGGTCTGAAAACTTGCAAGTCCCAATGCAAATGTCATTAATTTTTGAAAGTACAAAGTGGAGAGAACTTTTCTTGAGAAATTTTAAGACCAGTATGACTCTACTAGTATAGTATAGCTTTGGGGAGAAATACCTGTTCTCTTAGTTTTGGCTTACCAGGCAAAGAGGATGCGGGAAGGGGGTGGAGTTCTCAAAAGGTAATTTCAAGAAGTCATTCCCTGCTGGGAGTCACTAAGTTACACTTACTGAATATAAAAGTTACACTTACTGAATGTAGAAGAATGGCAGGAGTTGCCTGTTACCAGTGCAAAGCGTATCATGCTAAGCTCTTCTGTGGGTAATTCACACCTGTATTGCTTATATTAGATTTGGGTTTAGGTCTTTTTTTTTTTGTTATTATTTCATTTTATTGGTGTTTTTTTTTCTTGTGTGCCTCTAGGTCAACATGACTGTGTGACTGTCATCAACAACTTCTTTCCACGTGAAAGGCTGGACTACTATACTAAACCACAAGGCTTAGATAAAGAACCAAAACTGCCAGTAAAATTAGCTGGACCTCTACATAAAATAATTACTACTACTAACATGCATCCTGTTAAGGTGGAGTAATATGTAAATTGTATATGTTAGTTGGCATGGGAGCTGTTTCTTTATGTCAGAAAGCATTCAAATCTTCAGAGTCCAACTGAGATCAAAAGCATTATCCACTAATTCAGATGCTGCTGAAAATGAGAAAGAATCAGTCTCAATATTTAGACATGACTCAAAAATGACGCTATTTCAGTGTTTATATACACCAGAATCTTGAACTAATACCTTTATCTCAGTGTTTATATACACCAGAATCTTGAACTAATACCTTTAAGTGGAGAGATGCTTATGTTTTGCATCAATAACCATAAATAGCTTCCTTCTTTGGCTTTCTTTTTTTCCTAGCCGCATTTGAAGTGGCCCAAAACAATTTCCTATCTTAACAAAACCTCATTGTTCTCTCAATGCTTGTCTCAGTGTGTATCTTCCTACCTTCATCACTGGTTCACCATAGTAACATCTACTGCTGCTGCTGTTTCTGGAAGTATGGACAAGAGATGTTTATTTTTACTTCCCAGTATATTTGCTGAAAATAATGTCTTTTGTGGTTTGCTCTTCCAGTGTATTTCAGAGAAATTAACACACCTAAATTCAAAGACAAGTTCCTTAGACATGGCCATTCAAAGTCAGGAATTTGTCAACAGTTGCCAACCAGGTATCTGCAGTACATATAAAGAGTAATGGACCAGTGACAGCTAATTTAGTGAGTAGAATATACATAAAATCATAGGATGCTTTGGGTTGGAAGGGACCTTTAGAGGTCATCTAGCCCAACCCCCCTGCAGTGAGCAGGGGCAGCTTTAACCAGACCAGGTTGTTCAGAGCCCCGTCCAACCTCACCTTGAATGTTGCCAGGGATGGGGCCTCCACCACCTCTCTGGGCAACCAATACAGTTTCCTCTTAAAATGGTTAGTTCAGTGCCATACTAGTGTGCCTGAAGTACTCCGAGATTATGTGAGGGTGATGTGTTCTGTGAAACTGCTTAAATCATACAAGTCCAGGTTATTTTAGGTGTTCAAAAGGGAAGAGATTTTAGGACAGTGTGTGGTAGTTTCTGTAACTGTTTCTTTTGAAATGGTTTTGATTCTTCAGGTTTTTATTCTGGAAAAATCCTTATTATTTTTAATACCAGCCTTAATTTTGAATGTTTCTCTTATGGGAACTGTGAATTACAGTATACTAAATAGTAATACTAAATAATGACTGAAAAAAGAGGGGGAAGACTGGATAAGGCAGAAGTGGAGGAATATTAGAAACTCCACTGAAATTTAGTTACAATGAGCTATATAACCTTTAATGCTAATGCACGAGTTTAAAAATATCAGTTCCTGATTGGATTACATTTTCTTCAATCTTTCTCATAGATTGTGTTGCTGGTAAAAGAGAACCCTCTATTGGCCGAAGTAGAAGCACTGCAGAAATGTTACCGGGTTCTGGATCTAATTTGTGAGAAATGTATGAAACAGAAAGATATGAATGAAGTACTTGCTATGAAAATGCACTACATCAGTTGCATTTTCCAGAAATGTATTACGTTCTTAAAAGAGCGAGAGGATAAATTAGATGGATTTATCAAAAGGTACGTATTTCTACAGAAAGGTCTGAAGGCATATGCATGAACCAGCTTTACAGATACCAGGAGAAGACAACTGTAATAATAGATTGGATTGTCTTGGATAAAGGCTATGCCAAGTAAATTTTTAAATAATCCCAGCTGCAGTCACTTCAGGGTGGCACCGACTCCCTTTTTTCTGTCTGAAGTGGCATTGCCCTTTCCTGGGGTACAAAGGAAACATTCCTAGAGTTTCAGCTCCCTGCTGGAACTGGTTAGAGCTTGGCAATCACACATACGCTATGAAGCAGCAGAGCGCAACATGTGGTGGAGAAAAAAGGGGAGTGATAGGCTTGAAGAAAGAATTTCTCAGTGTCCGATATGGATCATCTGGCAACATTTCTCTTGCCATTTTGCCCTCCAGCAGTCATACAGGGTGAGATTTTTTTTCAAAAACACTTAAGCAACCAAGAACTGCAAATCCCACTGGCTCCGGATGAGACTTGGACTCTTAAATCACTTAGACAAATCTTCAGAACCTACTCAGAGTAACAAAACCAGCTGCCTGATCTTAAGTGTGAAAGTAAATGGTCTGGCTTTTAGAAGGATCGCATTCCCCGTAGACCTCCATGGATTTCTCCATGATACTGAAGATAAACTATGCAGTCAGCTTTCACATACTGAAATCAAATAGTTCATCAGTGATCCATATAAAAAAGTAGGAGCCAACCAGATAAATCAGGACTGTAACATGTTATTAAACATAAGTAAAGCAGAATTTGTATTTTAAAGTATTATGTATTCTTCAGTGTTTATTTTTACAATGCTCATTTTTAAACACAACAAAGCATTTTGCTACTTCAGTCTGATGTAGATACTAGTCTATCTGTAGATGATTGTTTTTCTCTGTGTGGCTGAATTAGTAAGTAGTGGTTTCAGAGCATACATTTCGTTATTTTATATTTCATAATGATTGTGTGTTAGAATAAAAATAATTTCATGTGCATTTTAAACACTTATGTTTGAAGCTGTCGAATTATTTTGAATTATAGTCCTCTATAACTTGAAAGAGGACAGAGTCAGGAGGACAGAGTACAGCATGCTGTGTGTTTGTTCTTGAACATTTACTATGTGATTTCTTATTTGACTTCGGTTTTAAAAAATTTAGTCTCTTGAAAGGGAGAGATAAAGATGGTTTCCCTGTATATCAAGAGAAGCTAATTCGAGAAAGTATCCGAAAGTTTCCTTACTGTGAAGCTACTTTGCTCCAGCAGCTCGTGAGAAGTATTGCTCCTGTTGAAATAGTAAGTTTTTCCTACCAAGAAAATACTTTCTAAGCAACTTGCATAGTAAATGCAGTTTAAGCTAAGCCATCTTTCTATTTCTCAGCTTCTGCAATGTCTTATATTAAGCAAAGGCTTCTGAATGTCCCTGAACTCTCTGGCAAACTGGAATTTTATTTTAGATATTGCAGGAAAATGCTGTAAAATACTTCAACTAGTAGTTTTTTCCTGTGCCCATAATGAATGCTTAAATACCTCAGCTTTTAAAGAAAATTGGAACAGTTTGTTTCTGTGTCAGAGCTTTCGTTTCCTACTCTGGGATGTCTATTCAGTTTTTCTTTGCCAATTCGCTTTTACAAACTGTAGATTCAGACACAGGTGAAACCCATTTTGCACTCTTTTTTCACAATGTCTAAATTCAATTTAAGATAAATAATTTTCTAGATTTAATGCATTTCTAGTGTACATGAAAAATTGGTAATATATGATGGTAGAAAAAGGGAAAACGTGAAGCTCCTTTTATCACAGGAAGAGGCAAGATGATGCAATATATAGTAAAATGTGTATCTAAATTAGGAAATCAAAATTACATGTAAAAAATCTAACTTAATTTTTCCTCATACATCTTTCCTACCATGCTCTTTGTTATAGTACTATTAATTAGTTCATAATAAATCTTACACAAGCCTTGTTATTCTTTTTTATGACAGTTCTCTCTGGTCTCTGAGAGCTAGATGTTATATGCACTAACACTGGGGAAGCAGAACAATTTTCTGATGTGTTTGGATTATGCTGAGTGCATTAAAAATAGCCTCCATCTTAAGTGGCTCCAGTCTACTAAAATTTCCTGAGGCTTAATGCAATCCCTACTGTTTGTCTAAGCCAGAAAAATAAACACAGTGTGAAAACATAAGCCATCGTGATGCATCAAGACTTGGTTTAGAGTAAACCTTTTCCTTCCTGTCCCTTTTTTCTTAGGAGAGCTTGCAGTCTTTTCTGCCTTCTCCCTTTAAAGAAATAGAGTTTGTTGCATTGGATTTCTGTCCATTATGCAGAACTGGGAAGGAGGAGATGCTATAAATTTTTGATTGTCTGGAAGGCCTTGACCTTTGGCATGCACAATTACTTGGATTCAGTCTGGGCATCTCAGCATTGTCGTAGTAGTTATCATCATGCATATTCCATGGTAGTGTAACAGTTAAAGGATTTACTTGGAGCTGGAGCAACTTGGCATTTTCTTCCTCTAATGTTTGCATCATTGCCCAAAAGCACAGTTGTAATTTATAGTCACCAGTAAAATACACTAAATCTTACTGCTTGTATTGCATGGGAAATATAGTGCAAATAATATCTAAATAATAATATGCAAATAATTGTTTTGAAGATTCCAAGTTCTGACCATTTGGTCTGTAGTATCTGAGTACACTGAGCACGACAGTATTTCAGTGACAAGCAGAATATCTTTGTGTGTGCCAGCACAGAGGCTAATCTGTGAAAACCTGCTGCATGTGATCAACAAGCAGATGACAGTGTGTAAAGAACACTGAGTTCACTAATAGTCTTACTAATAATTTCCAGAGTCAAAAAATGATAATTTTTATCCTTCCTTCCACAGAAGCTAGGGACTGAGTTAACTTTATATACAAAAGTTTAGCTAACTGTATGAATATTAGGTAGTGCGTTTTAGTTGAAGTTCTGTGGTTTAGTTTTATGTTCTTGCTGCTATGGCATCTTCAGTGAGACTGCAGCTGGCCGCTTGGAAGCTTGCATTGCTTGTTTAGTTTTTCTCTTGCGTGTCCCTCTTTATGATAGTGGTGTGTTTTAATCTCATTACCACCTCCTGTCTTACCTTTCAGGGTTCTGATCCTACAGCTTTTTCAGTTCTGACGCAAGCTATTACTGGCCAAGTGGGTTTTGTGGATGCTGAATTCTGTACAACGTGTGGGGGAAAGGGAGCAGACAAAAGATGTTCAGTATGTAAAATGGTAAGAATCCATAAATAGTTATAATGAATCACAAAAAATAGTGCCACTGAAGTGCTGAGGATTTTGAATGCTTGACTATTTACTGTGTAGACTGACAAGGAATGGCATGTATGCCTACACTGAAAACGAGCAAGCTCTCTATTTCTAGAAGAGATGCCTGAAATTCACAAGTAGGACTACTTGGATTTCCAAGTCTGTATGTTTAAGAATTAAGAAAGAGTAAAATTTCTGTATGTTTAGAGTTAAGAAAACAAACTATTCTTTATAGAGTTTTATATAGGTTAGAATCACTCCATATGACCCTACAAATTGCTTAAAAATACCATTAAGTAATATACATAGAGAGATTTAACTTGGTATACTAAGAAATACAAGAATATTGTATATTTTTTTAGCACATAAAGAGGAATTGATAGCTCTGGTAACTTTCAGGTGATGTACTGCGACCAGAACTGCCAGAAAATACACTGGTTTACCCACAAAAAAGTCTGCAAGACCCTGAAGGAAATTCATGAGAAACAAGAACTAGAAGCTGCCAAAGAAAAAAGGAAACAAGAAAAACATCAAAAGAAAGGTTAGGATCTATCGTTTGCTTGCTGAAACTAATGCTGCATTAACTGCACCACAAGGAACAATAGTAACAGGTCTTAAAATCTGTAACAGCTGAGGTTGAAAGAAAAATCTTTGTTGCAATGTAACAGCATGCCTGCATTTGGTAGAATTCTAGTCGTTTAATTTTCAAATGCTATGTACTTTCTAAACTCTGTTTTTTAATGCTAGAGTTACACAGGTTTCTGCAACTAAAGCATTCTGAATTACACTGCACTGTTTCAAAATCCAAATCTTTAATCAAAATCATGCAGAAGTTTCATGCTACTCTACCTTTCATTGGAGGTGTTAGCAAAAGTTGGATAATAAGAAAGCAGCCCACTCCTTCCAGTTGCAAAGGTTAATGTAGATGTTAATTCTCCTGTAATACTTTCTTCTTCATAATCACAGTATCAAGTTGTGTTGTGTACTTTGAATGTGAAGAATTAAAGCATTACTCTTTAAACCGTTAATGGTGTTTTTCTCCCTTCAGTAAGCAAATAATTAATACATAATGACAGAAGAAACACTGTATCACACACAAATATGCCCAACTGACTCTGATACAATGTTTCTGTAGTGAAATAACAGGAAAATCACTTTTTCTCTTCTAGAACTTAGTAGATTCCCCTTCCCTTGTTTTAAGGATTGTAGAAGTGCACTGGACAAACCACACTTTTCTTATAATGGTAGTATTATTCACTTCAGCTGGACTGTAAAAACTATAGCAGGATATAAATTAGTAGTAAATTAGTAATTATTGAAGTTTTCAACAGGTTCCTGTGGTGATCCTGTTACAAGAGTTGCTGTTGCATGGGATCAAGATGACTGTGGAAGTTGGAGGCAAGGATACTAGAAATCCCTGAATATATTGCATACCAATAGAGCAAAACATAGTGAGCTGTGAGCAGTGTGATGCCTCACACTGGTGACAAATACACACACTTGCAGGTTCATATTAACTGAACAAGTCAGTGGCCAGGTGCTGTCCTCTTCAGAGGCAGAGACGGTCTTGGTGGATGGCTCTTCTTCTTCCCTTCCTAAAAAGGGAAGCTAACATTTTTTCACGTGTTACTACTGCACTATCTACATGTTAATCTGCACTAACTTCTTCAGTTACATGGCCAACATACTATAGACCTTATCAGATTATGCATTGTTATCAAGACAGTGAATTCATCCTAGCTTCAAGTCACCTTGTGAACGGTGGTGTATCAAAGCTCTTCCTACCAACAGCAGTTTTATTTCAAAAAGCTAATAATACCCCCTACAAATCCTATACATCGGGGGGGGTGCGGGGTGGTGGCGCAGAGAAGAAAAATCCCACATCTGCAACTACAAGCAAAACCAAGAGTTTAAGAGTTTCCAGTGTACAAGGGTAAGCGTTAAGGAAGTCTATGCTTAAGGCAGTTAGCTCCATAGCCAAAGGAGGCCTTGGCAGGGCTTTGGCAGTGGTGTGGCTAGCTGTGACAGTGTTTTCAGCTGGCTGTCAATCATAACAGAATAAGAAACCGAGATTAGCTCCTTCTGAAGGTGCTGGGGCCCCCAGCTAGGCTTTCCCCTCTTTCTTTTCAGAATTGCTAGCACACAACCCTTACCTGATTTACCTTATTTAACAATTTTTTTTCCCCTGCATTGCTTGAAAAGTAAAGGTGCAATAGCTGATTCCATTCCATGCAGTTAGATTATAAATTTTAGGATGACTCACTTCAACCAAAATTCATTGTGGTCAACTGTTCATTAGCAAATAATATCTTCAGTCTGTTATATGCAAAAATGCTTCCTATGTAATCACGTACATGCCTCTTTTTTTTTTTAAAAAAAAAAAAAAGAAAAACAAAACCCACATGTACTCCTGATTAACTGGCCTGCAGCCATTCTTTGAAAAGCTAACTGTAAGAATAGTGTCAATGAAGCATGTCTGAATTGAAAGCTGAAATAACTGTAGTGTCCTACTCGTCTCCTCTATATATTAAAAAGAAGTATGGCAAAATTTAAGAGAAATTAATGAGAACTTTGCGTACAGTTAGTTTCAGAGTAATCTTACACCAACTTAAGCAGAAGTCTAGTGTCTTAGGTCTTTTTTGATGAAGCATGGTTAAATTAATCACTTCTGTAATTGATGGTAAGTTTCCTAGCGTTTATTACTCTTCAATAATAAAAATGTTTGCTTGCAGACGAGTTCAGTGTTTACTGATGATGCGATTTCTCTTTTGTTTAGTTGAAGTGCAACTAGCAGAGGGTAGTTCTACGAGTGAAGAACAGTCAGATCCTGGTCCAGATGCTACCAAAGAAGTGGATCCAAATCATGCTACTGACCGAACGGAAGAACCTGACTTTACCAAAGAGACGGAGGCACTAGCCCCGCACCCTGAAAGTCCACTGGAAAGTGAGACTGGCTTAGCTGACATTGCTCTTCAAAAAATTCAAGATTCTGAGGAGTAAGAAAAGGGTAGGAAGGGACTAAGAGTTCTGGCTACGTCCCTGGACCTCAAGGGTCCTAAAGAATTTTTTATGCTGACCATGTCTGAGTTCTTACAGCATGGCTTATGCAAGACTCTCTGTGAAAGTCAGCATGTCTCTGTTCATCATGAGATGAAATACTGGCTAATTTGTCTGTACGTACTTCAGGTTCTGTTGTAGATTGTCAAAATAGGTATTTATTATCTGATAAAAACTAGAGTGGCCTAGATCCATCTGTATGTATACAAACAGTGAGCATAGTTAAAAATCTATGAGTATCTGTGGTTAATGAGCCACTTAGTGGAAAAAAAAAAAAATTTATTTGGATTATTCATGTTTTCAGAATCTAAAGTCTATTTTAATTGTAATTTAACTATTTTTTTCTGCAAGTACACAGACCTGTAGTTAAAAGCATTGGGAAGCCAACTTTTAAATTGCTTTTTTACACTGCTTTATGAAGCTTGATCTGAAGGAATTCAGTAGCAGTTAAGTTTCTGAAGATACTCATCTGAATTCTCAACTTTTCATGATATTACTGTAAATATTTTTGACTAGTGAGTGCACAACAATAGTGTCTGTTTTGTGGCAGTTTTATTAAACGATACTGCTGTTTCAGATGTCTCAAGCTGACTGTGAAATACGTGTTTCGACAGAATTATTTCACTATTGGTTTGGTCAAAATATTTCAAGTTTCTCAAAGTCTAATGAAGGGAAGACCGGAATGACTTAAAATATTTTGACTGACAACAATAATGGTTTCTAAATCTCAGCTTTCAGGTAAAGGTGCCTTAGAGCACATTGGGATGTTGCTTATGAATTATTTCATAAACATAAAAGATGCTTAATATTGTTCATGCTGAACCTGGTCCCGCTGAATTAGATGGGAAAATTCATGTGGGAATTGATACAACTGGGATTTCACTTAAGCTTTTAACTAAATACCGTATCTAGAAAATAGCTTCCCTTAACTATGCTGTTTTCACTCAGATTTATTACTGTGTCTCATGAAATCAATGGGAATGCCACAACCGAAAACACCGCTTGCTGCATAAGGATGGCAAAATTTGAGAATCTCTAATTGTTGGATGAATAACTGGTGTTTTGAACATGGCAATGTCCTTCAACTTAGATGAATAAGGACCGTCCTCAAGACAGAGGAAAAATGCTATTAATTTTTTACTATTTAATATATGGAAAGTTTTTGTTTCATATTCTGAAAACTGTAAGAGCGAGGATACATAAATGCACCTGTGCAGGAAATGTACCTGTGTTTTAATTTCAAGGATTAGTAAATCGTGAAGAATAAAGGGAAGTTTTTTAAAAGAAGGGAGCTGTGTGGCAATTCTGTTTACTGTGTCTGTTAATGCCTGTTGGGACATACGGTGACATTCTCATTTGACTTGCACAGGCCTCCTGTAGCTTGGGTGTACAAATTTAATTTCATGACCTTTGGCAAGGAAGAGATGCATGCCTGGCACTTAGATATGGAGTCGTGGTGTAGTCACCGTCCACTCTTGGATCTGGGAATGCAGAAGTGCTGCTGGTTCCCTATTCTACACATAGCATTTGGGGCTCATGGGGATGTGCTGCTCTTTGTTTCTCTGAAAATTCAAGCTGTCCTGGTTTCGGCTGGGATAGACTTAATTTTCTTCCTAGTAGCAGGCATAGTGCTGTGTTTTGGATTTAGTAGGAGAAGAATGTTGATAACACACTGATGTTTTTAGTTGTTGCTGAGTACTGCTTATGCTAGTCAAGGACTTTTCAGCTTCCCATGCTCTGCCAGGTGCACAAGAAACTGGGAGGGGGCACAGCCAGAAGAGTTGATCCAAACTGACCCAAGGGCTATTCCATACCATATGACGTCATGCTCAGTATATAAACTGGGGGGGGGTTGGCCAGGGAGCAGCGATCGGTGCTCGGGAACTGTCTGAGTATCGGTCGGCAGGTGGTGAGCAATTGCATTGTGCATCACTTGCTTCGTATATCATTATTATTATTATCATTATTATACTGTTACTATTAGCATTACTATTTTACTTTATTTCAATTATTAAACTGTTCTTATCTCAACCCAGGAGTGTTTCTCACTCTTACTCCTCCAATTCTCTCCCCCATCCCATCGGGGTAGGGGGAGTGAGCGAGCGGCTGCGTGGTGCTTAGTTGCTGGCTGGGGCTAAACCACGACAAAGCCCTTTAGGACAAATGATTCAGGATTTTAGAAATACGGTAAAACCCACAGCACAAATCCTGCTTTCATTCCACCCGCCAGCACTTTTTCTTGATAAAGAAGAAAAGCCCGAGCAATAGGAGAAAGTATGAACACTGGAAATAGGTGTGAAGTGTGGGATTGTTGATGCGGATTATGCAGTTGCATTTGTTCTCATTCTAACTTGAAAAGGCTTCAAAGTGATTATGAGCAGAGGCTGCCACAATTCCCTCTCTCTGCAGCAAGTCTCAGAGGAGAGCAATTGCAATCCAGGTTAGGGTCCTGGTGCACACTGACACTCCAGAGCTACCTCTGCCTTCCTCAGCTTGAGCTGGCGACAGCTCTGCTGTTGGAAGATCATGGTTGATAGGTCCTGCATAAACCTGGGGTCATGACTAGCTCTTGCATGATCAAGAATTGGAGGAAACATCTCGTGACATGTTACCTATAAGGAACTTAAAGTACAATGAAAATTCATCTGCAATTTACTGATTCCTTAAGCAAAGTTTTACGTGGCAAGGCAGCTGTGGAGTGCAAAGCCAACAGACACAGTCTTGCACCTTCAAGGGAGTGTGATTTTCCCCTCCACTAGGAAAAAGGGAGTTCTCACTTCTTCAGCTGTTTCGCTAGACATGAGAACATAGCAGCTGTGAATCTATCTAGCCTGCTCCATCACAGTTCTTGCTCCCTAGTTCACTTTTAGGCTAAGTGTTTTTTCATATCTACTGTCTCTTCTACTGTTCTCTTCTCCCTGGGAAATCTGATTGAATTAAGAATATATAAAAGCTTCTAAAACTATCTGAGCATATCTTCTAGTGAACTAAATCTTGCATGTTCAAATCACTTCAGATTTTTGATACAGGTAGATTTCCAAGGTTTTTCTTCATCTAACTAACGGGAATTCTCAGAAAAAATGGAAATTACCTTTGTAATTTTAGTATTTCTTTGTATATAAATAGCTAACATTATTCTTTTTTCACTAACAGCTCTAAAACAGACTCAGTCCTTTTGACAAAGCTCACATGGATGAGTATGTGGAAATCATTGCCTTTTAAGTAAGGTGGACATGTTGGCAGTCGGTGATTCTACTGACTTGTGGCTTGTTGGACAGCATCCAACATTTACAAACTACAAATGCAAGCAGGTAGCAAACATTACAGTGAAGAGCTTCCGGATGCCGTGGTAGGGTTTTTTTGTTTAATCTATGTATTCCTGGGACACTTGTGTGCAGCAGTGGGAGGGCCAAAAAAATCTAAGAGGTTTTGACGGACTTTTCACCATCAAAGATTGTATATGTATACATGAACTCATTGTCTTCTCTGAGGCCATCTCTATGCTCAGAAAGATTACAGGAAGTCATGTGAAAATTCTTTAACAGTTACTACTGTGAAATGTATATTTTCTTTTCAAAATCTCTATTCTTTGGGGAAAATGTTAAATTAGTTGTTAAAAAATATTCTGTAATAAAATTCTTTATGTTGAAACACTGCACTGCAGCATTCTCTGAGCAGAAAACTGTGTCGTGGTTTAGCCCCAGCCAGCAACTAAGCACCACGCAGCCGCTCACTCACTCCCCCTACCCCGATGGGATGGGGGAGAGAATTGGAGGAGTAAGAGTGAGAAACACTCCTGGGTTGAGATAAGAACAGTTTAATAATTGAAATAAAGTAAAATAGTAATGCTAATAGTAACAGTATAATAATGATAATAATAATAATGATACACGAAGCAAGTGATGCCCAATGCAATTGCTCACCACCTGCCGACCGATACCCAGACAGTTCCCGAGCAGCGATTGCTGCTCCCTGGCCAACCCCCCCCCAGTTTATATACTGAGCATGACGTCATATGGTATGGAATAGCCCTTTGGTCAGTTTGGATCAACTCTTCTGGCTGTGCCCCCTCCCAGTTTCTTGTGCGCCTGGCAGAGCATGGGAAGCTGAAAAAGTCCTTGACTAGCATAAGCAGTACTTAGCAACAACTAAAACATCAGTGTGTTATCAACATTCTTCTCCTACTAAATCCAAAACACAGCACTATGCCTGCTGCTAGGAAGAAATTAACTCTATCCCAGCCGAAACCAGGACAAACTGAAACAATTCTTCATTTCACTTTAATTTTTCTTTAATCAAAAGAAGTCAGGGGCAGAAAAATACTCCAGGCCAGAAATACTGTGCCTCTAATTTGATCCAAAAATTTGAAATCAATGACATATACTCTGAAAGGACGTTGCTTACTACCTTAGCCTATCTCCAAGTTCCAAGTGGGATGCAGTCTGCTGTCAGAGAAAATCTCTTAAATTCAGCCTTTTCTGTGTCTATTATGACATGTAATATCTACAGATTCTGGGATTGTGAAATTGCTGCTATGAAATTATTACATCATAGACTACGCACATGAGCATAGTCAGCTGTCAGAATTCAAAGGACTCAAGACAAACTAGGGATTACTAAATCCTAATGGACAGTTACTTAGAGAGGACCTCTTTAAGAATAAAAACATGTTAGTCAAAGCTTAGTTTGGTCTAGCTTCTCTGTAGATTGATTCAATTTGAGAAATTAAACATTCTTGAAACCTAATCAAAACCAATGTGTTGATCTACCTTTTAAAAGCACAAAGATGTGGCTAATTTAAGGGCATTTACAAAATGCATGGAACTTCAAGCAAGAAAAATAAGGAAGTTGAAATAAAAAAGGAAGGAATTACGAGATCTGCTGAAAAGGACCTGGGGGTCCTGGTGGGCAGCAAGCTCCCCTGGAGCCAGCAGTATGCCCTGGCACCACCAAAGGTAAATGATGCGATGCAAAGTATAGTACAGCTGGCAGATCAAAAGCGTAATTATTCCACTTGACTTGGCAGTTGCTGGGCCACACCTGGAATACCATGTCCCATTTTGGTCAACTCAGTTCAAGAGAGACATTAAAAAACAAGAGAGGTCCAGTGAGGCTGCCACCATGATGATCAATCAGCAGGGTGGAGGAATTTGGTTTGTTCAGCCCAGAGAAAAGAAGACTTGGGGAGAGCTAAGCACATTCTTACA